CGCTACTCAGGGATCACTTTGGCCAGTGTGCTGTGGAAGAGCTAAGTTGCGCTACTCAGGGATCACTTTGGCCAGTGTGCTGTGGAAGAGCTAAGTTGCGCTACTCAGGGGTCACTTTGGCCAGTGTGCTGTGGAAGAGCTAAGTTGGGCTACCGGGCGTACTGAAGTCCAAAGTTCTAAAAATCTAACAACCCCACAGTCCTACGGGTGGGGAATGATGAGTTGTTTTCCACTGGTTCTCTGTCTCGAGGATCTCCAATGCCTTTGTTGTAGTAGGAAGTGCAATTCAAGGTGAAGAGAAGGAGAGAAGGAGACAAAGAAGGATCAATTTCGACTGCCCTCAATTCAAGGCTATATAATTATATAATTATATAACATTGCGAAGTGTCTTGCGTCCGGCCTCACCATAGTGGTTGGCCCGAAGAAAGTCCATCGGCACATCGTCTAAGTAAAACCTCAAGCAAGCAGCTGGCGTGAGAACAATGACCAAAATCGAGATGGATGGTAGAACGAATGACCACTAGAGAACACAGTAGGCATTTGTGTGAAGGGAAAGTGTAGCTTTGGAGAACAAAGGAACTAACGTGTGAGCAAATCTGTTGTCGGAAGCTTCAAACATTCTGTCAAACAACAAAGGGCTCCTTACGAACCCGCCCGCCATGAAAGGTACAACTGCACAACAACAAAGAAGCAACCGACCTATCATGTCTTCTGCGCGTACCAAACTGTTTCCAGGCTTGGGACCCTGTGGGGCTTTTGAGAAGTGGGCCCTGCTGCATCACTTTCCACCCGACAGGTCTTAGCTAGACAGCCCACCCTATCGTGACCTCTTCTGCTGCTGCTGCTGCTGGTGCTGCTGCGCATCACCCAGTGCGAGGGCAAAGGATAGATGAAGAGCGACGACAGGAGTATCCAGCTGGACAGTGCTTTGGTTGGCAGCTGTTTGATGGACAGTGGTGCTGCTCTGGGAAGTCTTTGCGGTTGGGACTGCCTTGCGGACAAGATTGACCAGCAGGACACCAACTAGGAGCTGCACTCCCTTGCAGGCAAAGGGAACCTGCTGGGCACTGTAATGGTGCACCCGCTGCAGGGTGTGAGGAGGCAAGCCATTGAAGCAAGCGTGCTACTGCGGTGGTGCCCTGGAGTCTTCAAATCAATCTGGACGCCAACTCTTCAAACAAACTGATGTAAGACTAGGAACCTAGTTTAGGACTTCCAAGGCGTGCTACTACTTCCAAGGCTGAGGACTAGGAACCTTGTTTGAGTGGGAAATGTTTCCTCGTTAGCATGCAAACCTAGTCTCACACCATCTCACACCCAATCAGCTTGCACGACTCCACACTCAATTCCAGTCCATGATAGCCTTCCGCAAGCAACTGTCACATGATGCAGGCCAGAAACAACGACCTATCCGATAGGCAGTGCTAGTGCAGCTGAGGCTGCCCAACGTGCCAGCAGCTGGTCGAGGGTAGTGGGCTGAGACCAGGTCACTCACCTTTCGGGATGCTCAAACAGCTACTTGGACTCAGTGAAAAGATTCGCACGACTTGTGTTTTTAAGAAATTGATCTGGAACCCAAATGAATAGTGCGAGTGCTTAAGGAAGCTCCTCCCGCCCTCAGGCAGAGGTAGCTTCCTTGAAGAAGCGTGAGCTATCCTGCACCTTAGCTAGTTGCAGCTTACCTAGTAATGTGTTTGTGTGCCTTTAGTAGCCTACTTCATTAAGTAAGGGTGAGGGCAAAGCGGGCTGTAAAATAGCCCAAGCAGCTACTTGGACCCACTCAAACGATTTTGCAGCACAAATTGAAAACGAGGTATCGACCACGCACATCCCATCCCAGTGACCACCCCCCGGCCCGCTCTGGAACCACCAGGGGGGAGCCAAAGCGGTTGAGAAAGCCAGCCACCTGGCTGTTGTGGTGCGCTAGCAGCAACAATCCTCATGTTTCATGATCGTCTATCTATCTAATTTTCTATCTACCCGTCTATCTATATATCCATCTGTCTACAAAGGGCCAGGAATCTCATTGCAGGACTTTACACATCATTCGATCATGCCAAAGCAGCTGGGCTTGGGGTAGCTGAGGCTCCCAACCGGACTTCCCCAGTCTCGCAGTTGGATAGGCACCTGTGTTTCTGAGGCTCGGAATGAGCCCTTTTTTGTGCTGTGTGCTTTCCCACACGTTCAACAAACCGTCCTGCTAAACGACACCACAAGATCTCCAGGTCACCCCACTGAGGCACGATAGACGTAGCGCCCAAAGAGCCAGGGCGATGGACCTCTGCCACTCGCTACACAGCAGCTGCAATAATCAGGAATCTGCTCATCTAGTTCTCGTTGGGTGGTCGGTGACCAATGCTCCAGCAACCAACTTAGCGGCAAGAGCCAGAAAACTCCATTGGTCCCTTCCCTGTTTACCAAACTGAACTCAAACACGCTCTGTGCTGCCAATGCAAAGAGCAAGTGATTCAGGTCCTGCCGTCGCATCTTTGGAAATGGGTGCCCCCGCGTACAGGGCCTTGAGGCTTCCGGTGCATCGATCGCGTGAAGTAGATGGCAGTGACCTGGGAAAAAGCATCACTGCAATATACTGCAATCATGAATGCCACGTACAGGGTCGGTCATGGTTGGACGGACTCTATCTTGGGTTCCACACATCAACAGCTGCGAGCCCCTGGTCCCGCAGCGGTCTCAAAACACCTGTGGCTGTCTCTGGCTCAAATGTCTGATATGCAACGTTTCAAACACCACCAGTGTTCGACGGGAAATACCATCTATAGAGCAACCATATATGCTGTTTGCTCGTGTCTTCGGCTACTCACTTCATGCGATCGAAAAACAAGGTCGAACAACCACGTGGGACGTGCAAACGCAAGGTTTGCATGGTAGCATTCCATGTAAAGCCAGGCCTAGAACCTCTTCCACATGCCGTAGGCCGTGTTTGTTGGACAAGTACTCGTCCGGTGAGTGCAGGAAGGAGACCTTGTTCCACCAACAACCGCTGGTTTCTTTGGTGTGAAAGAGGTGAATTGATGAAGGAGGCTGCAGGTCGGGTCGGGTCAGCTGTTTTAGATGTTGTGAAAAACTTGAAACCGATCAACTGATGCATGGTCAGTGCCGCGATGCATGATATGAGATGATACTTGTGTGAGGCCTTGGCCCATTCGGTCAAGCCACGCTGCATAAAGAGACAATGGGAGGCTGCCTGGGTCGAATAGAGCTCTTTAGACTATACCAGTAAACTGCCCTGCCCGAAATAGAAATGATTACATAAATTGGCTGAACATGTCCAGTTGCAACTACCCTTCGCACAGAACCAGTTTCATGGTCAGGTGCCTGTGCGTCTGGTGCAGCCTCAGCGACGACGGGAACTTGCACTGTGTAAACATGATAGCAAAGCCACGCCATAAACGACAGCCTAGGTCGATGCCAGGATGGCAACCTGCTAACCGAAGGGATGGCACTAGGGTAATCCTGAGGATACTAGTATGTATATATATATATAACTAATTAGTTACTAGTTTTGTCGTGCCACCCTTTCTATTCTGCTGCGGACCACATCAGTTGTTTTGTTCACACTCCAAGTCTTGCAGATCTGGGCCCTGCACCGCGGATGGCAAGCCTGGAAGCGCATGGACCGCATCATGGTGCCTGGCAATGCACGTCCTAACCTTTTGAAGAACTAGGAAGAGAATCATTGCACCTGGCTATTGGCAGGATATGGACCTGCAAAAAGAGTAATATATATATATAATCCAGACCGACATTTTCATGTGTGACGCACAAACATTGTAGCCAAATGGCCCTTGTGCCAACGCCCGGCCAGCCAAGCATCATGCCATAGTTGAGGAAGAGAGGGTACAGCAAAGGCAGCAATCAGTTGGCCATGAAGGGTTTCAAGGAATAGGTCTGCAATGGAAATTCATGTTGTAGCTCGCCCCTGCAGAGCACGTTGAATTGGTTTTGCGCGATGATCCGAACCTTTGTTTCAGGCCATCCAGCAATTGCAGTACCGCTGCCATCGCAGATGTTGAACAAGATCCAGCAATGCCGTTCATTTTCTGAGTCACATTCTGGGGCATTTGCATTGATGCACTGAACCCCCTGGTAGGGCTCATCCTCTTGGTCTGCGAGCAACGGGCTGTCTGCTCTTTCTCGTGCGGAGTAAACCAAGAGACATGACATTCAAAAGTTTGGGAGAGCGTTTGCTGGAGCTGCTGCTTGTTGACATCTCTTTGGCGAAAACAATGTGCAAAGCAAAGCCGCCTCAGCCCGTGAAGACCAGGCGCCGCGAGTGATGCCCGAAGGTATAAGATGAAAAGAGCTGAGCATTGCAAATCAAGACGGTCACTTCTCTCTCGGTCAGAGGCAGGCGGGCAGGGTGAACTGGTCCTTCTTTATTCAGGATGGGAGCCCATAGATGTTCAAGCTTGAAGACCGTCGCAATCGCACGGGCTGCTGGACATCCAGCACCAAAGTCGCCTGCCCGTGATCAAGAGTTACAGAGCCATGCACAGGAATGGCCAGGTGTGGAAAGCAAACGACTTGAAAAGCAGCTGCGCAGCAACGTGGAGTCATTGACTTAGTTGACAAGAGTGTAAGACTGCCTCACTTACTCATGTTCTGATATCACTTGCCAATTGAAAGTATTGTACTTCAAAGGTCATCAAAAAGGCAAATGCAAGAAGCAAGATGACTAAGTGTCAAGCAAAAAGCAAAAGCAAGAAGCAAGTTGGTTATGCTATACCTTGTGTTCAGAGTATTTGCACGTTGAGGTTGCTTTGAGGCACTTTAAAGCACACCAAACAAGCAAGAAGGGAGAAGCAAGATTGTACAGCATTGGGGACATCAGTCTTGCTTTTGGTATTCTTTGGGTTTGCTGTGCAAAGTAAGGTAGCTTTAAGCGCCAAAAAGCAGATTAAAAGCAAGAAACAAGATTAACAAGATTGCATTAGGAGTATTTGCTCTTTGGGGGTGCTTTAAGGCGAGCACATCAAAGCCAAGAAGCAAGTTGCACAGCATTGATGGACATCAACCTTGCTTTATCATATACTGCTTGAGCCCAAGGAGCACCAAAAGAAAGATCCATGGAATCCATGTCCCTTACTGCTGTGCACTCTTGCTTCTTGCTTCTTGCTCTTAATATGCTTTCAAGTGCTTTAAACCACCATCAAAACTCAAACTAAGACAAGGTGTGCTTTGAAGCGCTTTAAAGCATTGAGCAAATATACTCATTCAAGTGTAGATGCACGACTGATCAGATCAGATGTACCATATATTCATTCAGATGCAAATGTATGTTCCCCCCTCCACATCCCCAGGCGACAGAATTGTCGGTCCTGGGGGCGGTTACCATGTTTATATATATATACATACTCGGGTGGACATAGTAGATCCAATACAGGTCTACGTTTCAGCCTGCTGTCTTCAGCATCTCTGGTCAAACAGTGTTTGTGGAGACCACAAAGCAACAAGCACATCTTAATCAGAAAGACTACAGTAAGTCTGCAGTCCCTCTGCGGTTTCGCCAATCTGGCTACTGAAACTCTGTAGGCTGCATATCTGAGGAGACCAGCTCTGACAAGGCGAAGAAGGAGAAGCGAGGAAAGTAGCTGACCTGAAAGCTTCAAGGCTCCAAGGAACGAATCGCTTGACATTTTGCGTTTGCACCTCCCTGTCTTGCGTCTGTCAGTCTATCAGAGCCTATCAAATTGAACAGCCAAACCAGACTGACCTTTTGTCTGTGAACTGGCTCGTCGTCTGATGCCCAGCTACACCCAGCGCTGATATGTTACACTTTAAAATACTAAAATCCTCAAATCCATTCATGACTTACCTTCATGAGAATGGCCTGGGCTCGCCCACATGGCAACTAGAATCAGTTATAACTTATAAGCATTTTGAGCCGAGACGCATAGCCTGTTTTGATGTAAGGCTCCAAAACCCCATCCTCTTCTAAGGACCCATCCTGGCCATTATGTCTTCGGCGTGGTGTTTGGATGCCTTCGATTCACTTGGGACCTTCTCGATTAACAATATGTTCATTCACGTAATATAGGTGCAAAAAAAAAGTCTGCAGCGTTTTATGGGTAGGCATGATCGCGGAGTCTCTAACATGTCCAGCAATTGAAGCGCTTTGGGCCCTTTGGCCTCCATTTCGATCCTCCTGCTGTATGTGTTTAGATCCAAGTTCACAGAAGGGAAAGCTTAGCCAGCAGCACCCGGTCATAAATGACAAAGTGGTCAACACCGATTAGCCTCAAAGCTCCGAGCAACCATCCAAGCTACCCAAATACTCGGAGCTCCAGGGATGCTTGGGAGGCGGCCGATGATATTCCAACCAATGCTTCACCAGCGTTGACTTGTAGGCTCCTCTCCTGAGGGCAGTCATCAGACCGAGAGGGAGAATCACCCGCTTTCAGTGTCTTGAATGAGTCACACTACATAACATGCTGGCCTCTCCATTGTAAAGGTTTCCCTACTTACGCTGGATTCGAAGATGCTCACCCCAACCAGTCACTTGTCTCCACAGAAGATTTGCCTTCCCAGGGTTTTGATCGTAGGTTGGTACTCACTTTCAATCACTAAATCTCATCATCCACACACATTGTCAGTTAAGTGCCACCTGTTTCCAAAATTTGGCCTAGCTGGAATTCATTTGGCGCACGAAAAAGTCACAAAACGAAAAGACTTGCCCAACCATCAAATCCACTAAACTCTGAGGGCCGAGCAAGGAATAAAGCACCTCGCTGCAAACAACCAGCTTTCGCCTTCGCTGGGCAAGGCGGGGGCGCCGAGGAACCAAACTGAGCAGAGACACCTGACTTAGAACTGCGTATATACACTCGGTTCTCATGGACTTCCAAGAATCAGCCCAATGCCACCTACATCACATGCAAACATGGGTGCCTGACACTGATTTCTGAGATAGCATGAAATCCCCTCATCCTGACTTGACCAAGTTGCAGACGTCAATTTGCTAGCTAGGACATTTGAGAAAATACTCATTCTTGCTCTTAGAAGTGATGAGGCTCAAACGAAGAAGAGGAACTGCTAGACGGCCCCGTGGCGAGAAGACCCTGGGCGAGAAGGAGTGGGGTGCCACAGCGTCATCGGCTCCTTTTACCAATTCGAGCCACAGAAAAGTGGTTCCACAATTCAGAGCCTTGACACTTGGCCACTCACAACTGGTGAGTGTAGCAGAAATCAAAAGAATGTTAGGACATTGGCAGTCATCATCAAGTTTTGTACTGAAAGCGGTTAGAGAGTCAGGCGAGGTGGGCAAAGGCAGGTGTTGGAATTGCAATGCCATTGTTGCTGGTATGTCATTCAATGATTTGAGCTTCCCGCCGGCGAAAGTGGCTGAAGTGGGCAAAGGCGAATTCCTGACATGGAAGTGTTAGCTTCCAAGTGAACTAACCACAAAGCAAAATGGCTCGTAAGTCCCGTCCAAGGATCTAGAATCTACCCAGCATCAAAGCAAGAATTGCATAGCTCAAAAAAGCTGTGTAAAAGCATCACGATGTGAACTGATTGGGAACGCAATGGCAAGTGACAACACACAATATGAAAGCAACCTCCAGAAGTTCCAGGTTATATAACCTCCTGGGAACAGAATGTGGGGAATAAAAATATTCATCTACAGACTTATCTAGCAAGTTGATTAATTAAATTGTATTATTGGATATTATATTCCTGGTGATTCCCACACGACCACCTGCTTTGAGGACTCCATAAGTGCCTGTCAGAGACCATCCCAAAGCTTGCAAAGGTATGATGGTGGAAGAGACAGTCAGCCTAGGCCGAAGGCAATCCCTGAAGAGAAACAATTTGTTTGGCCACTGACTGAACAGAAAAATTATGCCTCTGATGCAACCAGATGCAAACATCGAGTAAGAAAAGAATTAGGTGTTCCAAGGTTCAATATCGTACAATTCCTGTACATACGACAATTGCTTGAAATTGCTTGAAATCTTGCACAAAAACAATATGTTAAAAGCAACACAACAATTATATACTGTACTTATTTGTCTTCTGCGTTGTTGCAGCCTGTGGACCAGCAGCATACAAATGAACAACGGATCCTGTAAGCTGCGGTTTTGACAAGCCCCCCACTCCACGGCCCCTTGTGGGGCTGTGGGGAAGCGGCAGCGGAGCAAGGCAACAGTGCCCGAATAGGACACCACACCTGGCGAAGGCAGGCACTCGATCGCTACTAGGGGCTCCTGGCCGTACTACTAGGAGCAAGAACGCTACTAGGGGCATTCAGGTGATCCTTGTTGATGATATGGATGTGTCTTGAAGACTGGTGAGCCCCTCTTTTATCTTTTCTTTGGCCTTCGCAAAACGTTTTGAGAGCATCCGTCCTAGAGCGACTTAGCAAGAGACATCGGATCCTGCTTCATACCCCTATTTCCGGAAACGCAAATCGATTCTTAAATGGTTCACATGCCCTCTAGGAGCTTTCGGAAACAATCAGCAATCCTTCCATTAGCATTTGTGGCACCAGGAGTAGAATGGTCCTCCAAGGGTGTGAGTGAAACAAAACATGGCGATTCGCACCTTGACCAGAAGACCTGGAGCTTCTCCGCTCATGCTGCATGAAACAGCTCCATGGCGTCAAATAGGACCTGGAAGGGATCAAAGCTGCAATGAATAGCAAAGAAAAAGACACCAGTTCTAAAAAGTAATGCGTTGGGCAAGTCGATATGTCTTTCCATACGTCGCCACTGCGTCAAGTGCTGGGGACCCAGGATGTTTTCCAAAACCTCTGGTGGCCTGCGCGCCATGGGTTCATCTGTCCCTAAATCGAGAGGCTATGGCTATTAGGGTGGAGGGCCGAGCTACATTGCTGCTTAGTTTCATTGCATAGGCCACAGACTAAAAACAAGAACGGACCAGCATGGACTCGAACCAGCAAATTCATGCGAAGTTCGCCAAGAGTAAACAGCAGCAACATGCAGCAACGCTTCCTCCAGTGGGCAGCTGGTCCTATAGTAGCGGGAGGTGGAGCCTTCCCGAGAACCTACGAGGTTGGAGGCCATATATGTTCCACATTGCCCCGCACCCGTCAATCTCAGGGCGGTGCTGTGGATGTGTCTGGAACAGTCGATTTCCTGGGAGCGCCAAGCGATGCGTCTTTGCTAAAGGCATAGAGAGTCGGCTCAGAACCACAAAACCCCTGATCTCGCATGAAGCAGCCAAGCAAACACATTTTACATATTGCACTCTACAGGATCAAGCGCTGGTGGAGGTGAGGATCTCATGCGGAAATGATTGAAATGTTGGGGATACTAAACCCATCACGCTTCAGCAAAAGGCAGCTCGAGCAGGAATGTAGACTTCAAGCAGCAGTCAATGTCTGAAGAAACGTAGGTGCAAAATGACTGTGACATGATGTGACATGTACAATTGAGTGCCATCGAATGCTTTCAGCTTTGGCGGTTGCCGTGTGAATTCCATATTTAACTGGAATTCTATGGTTTCTAGTCGCATGGAAACAGGGTGCTTCCACTCAGGTCCACACCATCGACCAGCACACACAAATCCCTTGGAGCCACAAAAAGGGAGAGCTCCACCTAGCCACATTGGGAGCTTTTTCGGCTTCATGACAGGAAAAGTCCGTTTAGGATATTGGTGACATTGAGGTACTTGCGATGTCCATGCAACCAAATCTTGCGGGTATGGTCTGCATTCGAACTTCCCGCTTTCAGCAAGAGGTCTGGCAGGATGCATCAACAATTGCCTAGATCTGCGAAACTCCTACTACCCAATATCAACCTGAAAACGGATCACCTGAAGGCAGCGGTTCACATGGTGTGAACACATGCGCAGTCACCAGAATTGATCACGCCAGTCTGCGTCAGCACAGTCAGCACACATGCTCAGTGTGCTCAATAGTACCCGCCCAGTTGCACCTCCCAGGCAGAGCCATGATCCTGAAATCCAGGGTGAGATTGCACCGAGGCAAAACGAGATTGTACCACAGGTTCTTACTAGTGATAGAGGTCCACCGCTGCACAAATTCTACTTTGCCAGCCTGATGGTACCAGTACCCACTTACATATATAAGTGTTCTTTCTTGCTATAGTCTTGGTTGCTGACAAGTCACACCCCGCCATTGTGTTTCCCGTCTGTCCTCGCCTCGGCCCAAGCACCCAGCCTTGGTCCCAGCACTTATTTGGCCGTCTACTGTAGGAGATTCTTCTTTTGAGCTGTTTTCGTCAACAAGTCGCCTGGCCATCCTGGTCTCCCCTTCCGCTTCAATCTTTGCTGTGAGCTCCTGGCAAAGAAGCCTGGAATCCCCGGCCGAAGCCTTGCTTCATCACCTCTCCTAAGGCAACAAGCAAATACAGGCTGCGTTCTTCTCAGCAAGAGTTTACAACAAGCGAGATGGGCTGGATATGATACACTAGTGGATACATGACATATAATGATTATATATGCTGCAAGTATATTAATTATGTATGCTGTAAGTACACGCAACACCTTATAAGGTCCCTTGTCCTGGCATGCCACAAAGCCTCCATTTGCGCCTTGGTTGAGTTCTGTACGATTTACCAAGGCTAAACCAAGTGTCGAGCATCGTTCTGCCCGTACTACTACTTGCAGAATTCGTTGAACCTCGCTTGTCTACTGAAATAACCTGCTGCACTACAACATGTTTGCGTTTAACAACCTAGTGATGCATGGTACTTCTCAGCGCTTCACCCAATCTCCAGGGAGCGAGATGAGGAAGCCTCTCTCCCTTCGGCGCCGTGGAATGTGCTTGCACCCGCTCGTTCGAGCTGCAACTGGCTTAACTGGAAAAAACCGCAGACCATTGGTTTGGGAATGTCTTCATGCTGCGAATATAGCGTGTCTTGGGAAAACATGAACAGTGGTGGTAAGGCCCCTTTAGTAAGGGTCAAGAAAGAAGGTAAGGGTACAGGCATAGTCATAGGGCCATCTTGGTAAGCGTTAAAGGGGGCCTCCATTACCTTCCGTTTATTTCATCTCACTGATATTGTCTGTTATTCCTTCTTGGCCAAGTTCGACACCTATCTGCATGCTGCATGAACCCTTCCAAGGTCACGCAGCAGAACTTGGGAGGAAATCAATCGTGTTCGATCAATCCCCGCGAGAGATGCATTCAGGATCTCCAAAAACGTCAATTTTGATAGATTCTGAGAAACCTGCGAACACAAAGCCAGCAGTTTCAAAACACATTTGGGCTGTGATTGTAGAACAACGTCCCAATGTCAAAGTTCAAGGACCCCCTGGCTAGCCAAGATTGGGTACTCCCACAGTTGAACACATGAAAACTAAAAGATTAATGAAGATTAAAAATGTGAACATTGCTTGTAATTACACTACAGACCAGCTCTTTCAAAGACATGCCCGCTCACTGACCCACTGACTGACCGTCCACATGTGCGAAGGCGCCTTCGTCACTCCGACGCATGGACGCAGCGATGAGCGCATGAGGCCAAGTCTTCGGCCCCTGAACATCGGCCACGAAACGTGTTTGAAAAGCTCCTAGTAGCGTCCTTGCTCCTAGTAGCGATGCCAGGAGCCCCTAGTAGCGTTCTTGCCGACCTGGCCGACCTCCCCCAACTCCCTATACTTAATTAGGTAAGGGAGAGGTAACTAGTACCTTACTAGGACGCTAATAGCATGGACCCAGGATAGCTCACACTTCTTCAAAGAAGGTCCCCACACCTGAGGACGGGGGGGGAGCTTCCTTGAAGAAGCGCTCGCACAAATGATTTGGTTCCTAGATTTTAGGGAAAGGCGCATGGCGTCTTACCAAAGACGAAGCGCGAAAAAGTTGAACAGTGAAACCGGGCGCCTCTCCCTTGAGGAGACGCCTACCCAGGCTGGTCCCTGGTGGCACCAGAAGAAAAGAAAACAACAGACACACGCCACGCGATCCACCAGCAACCCCCCCGGCCAGGGTTGCACGTGTGTCGCACGCCACCACCGAGGGAGCACAAGGGATCCACACAGGACAGTTATGTAGGCCCAGACTCTCGGAGTCAACATGGGATCGGGCTCCCTTTACATCAGCAAAAGGCTGCTCTCACCATGCACTGCTCTGCCGCACGGCGCCCCGCGTGAAGATGAAGGGGGTTAAAGTGGTAAAGTGCTCCAATACTAAGGTCACAGCTAAACACACATGGAAATGGCCGCCAAAACCTCGGTAAGGGAAGGGGCGGACAAGCCCCGTGGAAGCCTCGATGTAAGTCAACTGAAATGCGTTCCTGCAGCTGTTGCCATGTCTGGCCTGAAGGAAGGTTCTCCCTGGAGTCAACTAGCTTAGCTAATGATTGAAGCAGTGTTGCAGTTTCCCCTGCCAAGCCACGTGTGCTTTCCATAACCAGGGGTGCGAACCCTGAATTTTGACGGGCACAACGTTGTTGCATTTCACCATGTTTCTGCTTTAAGTCAGTATACCTATCGGCCACCATCCCCGCAGTGGTGGCTGGCCCCCGCAGAACCAATTCCCTGCAAACTGAGTTCTTGAAATCTATATTCCTCAGGAGGCCAAGCCATCACACCCAGGTGGCACGGGTGTCTTTTTCGTTGCTCTTCCTAGTGACGTTCTGCAAAGTCCATACAGTCAGCTTTTTGATTAGAAAGCCAATGCGTTTCCCTAAATATCTAGGAACCAAATGATCAGTGCGAGCGCTTCTTCAACCAAGCTGCCCCCTGTCATCAGGCGGGGAGAGCTTCCTTGGAGAAGCGTGATGCGTCCAGTAGCTAGTAGCATCCTACTTTGGCTTGCGGGATACCCCCCAACACGAGAAAATATCAGTTCTTTCAGTCTCATGAGTCTCACTTTCGTCACCAACAAGCCACGAGGTCCAAGGTCGAACGCCGCAGTCCGACACACTGCCTGACACTCCAGAGGCCGAAAGCTCCCATTGCCAAAGGCCTGAAGCAGGTGGCCAGCCATCAAGACACAAAAGGACCCTAGTTGCAATGGCCTCCAACCTAATAGCAAAAGGAACCTAACAGCGATGGCCTCCAACCTAAAAGCTATAGCCTCCAACCTAAGAGCGATGGCCTCCAACCTAAGACACAAAAGGACCCGTTGGAAAAAGAAGATAATACCGTACGAGAGAACATCCCTTCGATAGTTGACCCCCTACCACACTCGTCCCCAACCTTGTGGCACATACACATGACCACACTCGGCTTAACTTGTCAGCCCCTGTCCTCCAAAACCTCTGCAGCCTTGCCGGTGTTCAAGGCATCGAAGCCTCGGAAAATGTTGATTCCCTTTGTCCGATGATCTAATCAATCGCACTTGGCAAGTCTTTGATCAACATCAAGCACAAGGATGGTTGGATAGGCTTAGGTAATTTGCAATGTTCCGAGTCCCGACTCTTCATTGCACAATACCAGAGTCGATTCACCTACAAAACCGTGTACACAGCACTTCTACCTTGCTCCTGTCATGACCCCGACCTATCAACTTAAATGATGTCTTTTTGGATGTTGATATAGTTATGTTGCTAAAACATCTAAACCATTTGAGGGTGACCGAACTCTCACGCTGGCCCGCATGGTTCATGCCACAGAACAGCTCCGTTGAGGCTCGGTGAGTTCTTGAAGGATCCAGGAAGCATCCTGGCCGTTGAACGAGTCAAATCCCGCCTTGGGGACAGCTAAACAGCTAGTGACGGTGAGAATTCATGATTCCCCTGTCCCTGTCTTTGGAGCCTTTGGCAAGCTTTAGCCTGCCAGCCCATGCAAACAATCCGAGGCAAGTTCCAAAGAATGATACTACCCAAGCGAGAGGTCAGATCTCCACTTCCCGCATGAGAAGATACAAATTGAGTAAGCGTATATGTCAGCAACTTGGATGCAGGTCATTCTAATCATCCCAGTAGTTGGTCTGTAAGCAGGTGCAATACAGTACAGCGGAGACACGGTAACCCACGAAGGTCTACTTTAGCAGATCCCCATTGCGTCCAAGGTAGTCATCTGAACTGGGGATCAGGAATCATAGGGAAGGGATTATCAGTTGGTCTCCGGACCATCAAACCAATAGAAAAAGTTGAGGATAATTTTCTTCCTCTACTAGATATACTTACTTTCATCTCTGCAAGCCACACTAACTGCGGTTTCTATGAGTGTCAGCCTTCCAGTCCCGATTGATTGTGTTCCTGCCTCCTTCCAGAGCTCCGTAAGCCGTGGCCACACCCAAGTCCGCAAGGACTCCCACTGGTCGCCCTGCTCCGTCGCTCGGTCTGCAAAAGCTCCTAGTAGCGTCCGATCGCTCCTAGTAGTAAGGCCAGGAGCTCCTAGTAGTTTCTTGTTCCTAGTAGCGATGCCCTTTGCTCCTAGTAGCGTCCGCTACACAACTACACTCAACCTAACCTTGTTGTGACCAGAGTTGCCATGGAATTGACGACGTCCGGTGTCTGCCTATCTCCTGTCATCCACCAGCATCAAATGGTCCGCAGGCAAAGGCTCGGTTTTTGGCAGTATCACGCAAGTTTTCAATGAAACCAGTGGTCCAAGTACTGACAAAAGGTTTCGACAAGATTCGACAAGCAGTCAAAGCCTGAATGTGTCAAGATTCTGACCAGCTGGATTTTATGCCCGAGTTGCACCCAAAAACCATTGCCAATGGTTCAAGCGTGGTTAAATGTAGAGGCAAATCAATTGGGTTTGTGCGATCTGCAATGTGAAACACTGCCTTGCCTTGCCAAAGAGCAATGAGAGCTGGCTAAGTTGCTGCAAGCGCCTGGATTGAGCTTTGCACCCCCGACAGCAAGGACATTACAATGAGTGACAATCAATAGCCTACGAGTCCTACGAGCACAAAACGCAAGCGCCATCCATGCGCAGTAGGCAATAGACCGTCAAGTTTTTAGGTTTTTTGGGGCGTTACATGGAAATACCTCACTTAACCGTCGGAACCCAACTACAGCGAATTGAACTCCCTCCGGACAAAACATGGTTCGCTCCTGGCCGGCGACGAGTTCCGCCACTGGTCCACCTGGACAGGGGCAAAGAGGAGGTTTCAAATGTTCCGTCTGTGACACGAGATCTTCAAACTGAGTGATCCTACTTCAAGCAGGATGACCAACAGAACAATATGCGCCAAAACACCAGTACACCAGCAGCCAATGTAGCTCAATCCCTTGTTTGAACACTTTTTGTGGCAGCGTACCGTACCACCATGTGCTCCATGAAAACAGAGCTCGAAGCCAACTGGCAGCTGGCTAGAGCTGGCCTCTGCCAACAGTCGCACCGCTCGGATGGCCAATGTGCAGGTGCTCGGGCAGGCGGGCGTCATGCCGTCCGCCATGGTCCAACGACTGAGGGTCGCTCAGTGACTCACTCATCGGCAATGCTAAAGAAACTGACAACGTCCCACCATTTATCTTCCACCCCAATCGGGTGGTACGAACCCTTTTTTTTGTGCAAAGAAAGTCCAGTATCAAAGCTTTGCCGTCAAACTATCCTTTGCGGAGTTTTCAAAGCAGTGTCACGCGCCTCGGGTCCGCCAGGGCAAAGAAGCTCCACAAACTGCCATAGTTGCCTCGAGAACTTGGCATTAGAGCCGGGTCCGGATGGAAAGTACTCTGCGACTTTGCCACTGCATCTCCTGTTGCAAACCAGAGAAGTACTCTAAAGGGGTATGCAATTTCCGAGAGCGACCCACATTTCACAAGGCCTCCATGGGTCTGAAAGGAGGGAAGATGGGCAAACGTGTTGCGATCATTGATGATCCCACATTCGTCCATATATATATATATAACCATATGATTCATATGATCATATTTACATTTACAATCCCAAGTTTCCTTCGGAACCTAGCTTTGAGCTCCGCACCAAAGACTTGATGATCCACACTGAAGGCCGAGCTCTCAGAAGCTGCTGAGCCTATTGAATACACAGCAGGGCACCAAGGAGGTGGACAAAACTTAGCAGTTGCAAAAAAGTTCATCGACGTCCCACACAAATCTGTTTCGAGGGTTGAACAGGAACAGTTCCTGTTGCAAAGGTTGTAAACACCGAACACCCGTCCACTTCAACACTCTTAAACAAAAATCCCTTCAAGTGACCGCGTTTCATTTGTGTGTGCCGAATGTGCAAGAGCCAGTGGTTTGGCACTTTTACACAGATCCGCTGCCTCCAAAAAGGCTTTCATAAGTATACCGTTGAAGAGGCTCTGCCGCCCTGGCGCGAGTTGGGCCAGAGCCAATGCTGCGATGGATAGGCAGGAGATCAATGTTGGATGTTTTGATTCTTGTGCGGCGGATTTTTTGAAGTTAACTTAGACTTCCACGAAGAACCAACGCGTCCCAACAAGTGCGCCAAGCTAGCGCAAAAAGGAACAGTTTGACCCATACTTGGGTTCCAAGCTGTGTCAAGGTCTCTGGGCTGAATAGGTCTGGATCCAAGACCACTTCCTGATGGCCGAGAAGGCTTCACTTGCTTGGCTGAATCTCCACCAGGCCCAATGATTGGTTTGAATTGAGTTTGGCCAAAAAAATCACCAGCAGACCACAGGTGTTGTTCGCTCTTGTCCATTGTTCCACTATGTTCTGCATGGAATCTGAAGTTTTGAAGATACCACACCATAGATTCCGCCGCAAATACCATGAGATGCTCAGCCGCCTGGCGTTCAGCGCAGCGCCACCGCCGGCCACGGCGCTGGACCGAGGCGCGGCTCAGCCCCAGCCACGCCCGAGAGGTGTACTGAGCAGTGGAGCAACGTGACGTAACGCGTCACGGCACGTTGGCAATGTTGGAATGACCATCACGTGGACAGAACGATTTGCTGAATGACTCTCATACACCACTTCTTATGGCTGAAGGGAGCGTGCATGGGTTTGAATGAATTGTAGGGTCTTCCGAAAAGGCATCGGTGGCCATTGCCAAGGACTCGCCAGTTATACAGGGAGTCGGGAATTCGGTGTATTCGTCAAAAAGGAAGAAAGGGGTGAGGTGATTGGATGTATGCTGTGTTCTTTACAATGGGTGTTGTACGTATGTTTTACATTGTTTTACATTTAGAATGTGGTGATTATTCAGGTGGTCCTTGAAGTTGGCAGTTGGTTTGGTCTTCAAATTTGGCGATTGGTCACTCTCACCCACACTCACTCTCACTCTCACTCGCACTCGCACTCACACTCACACTCACTCACTCTCCCACTCTCACTCACACTCACTCTCACTCTCACCCACACACTCACCCACCTTCAGTCTCACTCACACTCGCTCTCACTCACACTCACTCTCACTCTGCACTCACACCCACTCTCCCACTCCCACTCCCACTCACACTCTCACTCTCACTCTCACCCACACTCACTCACACCCACCTTCACTCTCACTCACACTCACTCTGCACTCACACCCACTCTCCCACTCCCACTCCCACTCACACTCTCACTCTCACTCTCACCCACACTCACTCACACCCACCTTCACTCTCACTCACGCTCACACTCACTCACTCACTCGCTCGCTCGCTCACCAACCACCACCACCACCCGTCACCACGATCCCCACCTTCATCACCACCATCGCCTCTCTGGACCCCAATGCGTCTGGATCTCTGGACTTTCTGCTTACAGACCTCACACACACTGTTTGGGGTCTCTTGCCGGGCTAATTTTTTGATGGAAATAGATTTTCTTTTTGATAGGTATCCCAGTGTGCAATGCATCAATACCTGAGGAGGCCACCCTTTCCGCCAACATCCTCATGCTGCCCTCCGGGCCACCCCACTCCCCAGCCCATGCGGAGCAGCGAGAAGGAGCGCAGCCCAATGCGGTAGGGCACTTGACACCCAACCGAGTCGCAAAAGACCTCGAGAAGTCCAGAAACTTCACTCATGAAGCTAAACTTGTCAGAGCCCCTTTCGAATTGCAACCGGACCAGTCGTTGTCGTCTTCATGAAGCAAATCATGCATTTTGAGTTTGACGGGTTGTCCCCTCAAGATCCTTAGCCGAACATGACAGAAGCAGAGGATGTCTTCGTGTTGGGCTTTGCACGAACTGAAGTTGAGTAAGAACTGGAATGTGTGAATGGAATAGGCCCCACACATTAGATTTGGTAGCTAGTTCGCTCTCTCCACATAAAACCCAAAATGGGATTGCTACTGCAACTGACGCTAGTACAGTAATTGGCCGCCGGCTGTATGCAATATGTCCTCAAGCCCCCAAAACATGGTTATAGGCCTGGCCAAGATCCAAACTAGGACCCCCCCCTTTTGAAGGGTATGTTTTTGGAAACTGCCACTGTTTCGTTTCGTCTTAGTTGTTGCAAAAAGCCAATCAAATGACCTCCGTCCGCCTGCCTCGGAGCGGTTTGCACCGGAGACCAATGGGGGCAATGCCCCACGCTGTATCTCATTCGCTGGGCACATGGAGACCACATCTCGACGGACAGCTAACTAGATTCCGAAGCAAATACTGGAACTACAGGGGGCCCCACCCCAATGATCGAAACTCACTACAAAACTTTGTTCAGCGATGTGAAATGGGATAGTGCGCAAGGGTGGCTCTTTCGATCAGCTCCTTAGAAGCAATTGTTTTTTATTCGGTCATCTCCGCCAGCGGGTGGAAAGCTTGAAAGAACCAAAGCACGGTGAGATGTGTGTCTCTGCACACTGTGAGTGTCATTAATTTTCACTTTCTGAGTTACCTCAGTTAGCTCTACTATCCTCTACTCTGTTCTGTCTCTTGTCTGTACTATTCTCCAGAGTTCTCATGTTTTCTCTGCTCTGCTTGCTCCTGTTTGTCTTTACTCATCGCCATGTGTTGCCCGCACTTATTCCACTAGCTTGCCAGGATGGTTGTGAGCCAAAAATCGAAAACGACTTGAAATACAAACACAGAGGAAGAAGATTCAAAACGATTGATGCCGCAAAGAGCATGGCATAGCATCGTACTACACATGGGCAACAGGAAATTAACAAAAACAATTATGGGACCATCCTCGCCAGGGTGTGACCTGAGCACTACTGCTACAATACAATCTCATGGGCGCCCCAAATGCGCGACACCTCCAAGCAACGCTGGCGCGTATTATTTCAGATAGCAAGTACCAATGGATTCCTGCAAGGATCGCTAGACAAGTGCGTCGCACCAAACTGAAAGCGAATGTTTTCACAAGCGATTCGACGAAAATCGTGGCAGGGTACAGTAACAAGTGAGGCAGAGTGTCTTTCTAAAAGCTGCCGAAAAGATGTACTGGGATGACTTCCACCCTCGGTGCACAATTCCGAGCCCTGCCGGCCAGCGGCTGTGAGCGCAGCTCATGCGCAGCTATACAATGTAAACACAGAAGCTCGGGAAGCTCGGTTGCTTTTGACCACCTGGAATCCGGTGGTTTCTGGCAAAGTGATACTTAGGACGGGCTGAATTTCCCCGATACAATTCAAGAGACTGGTGAGGCCACAACTCACAAGCCCGAAGCCTAAACTCCTTTAGCACCAATTCAAAACCAGGTGCAACTTGATGGATCCTTTTTGAGGAACACACCTGGAAAGCTGAGTCTTGCAAGGAGAGATTTCCTCCTTTGCCGTTCCCTGCCAATGTCACAGAACGGTGGGTGTCATACCACCTAGGCAATAGCTTTGACAGCGTTGAAAGTTCCTAAGCTCATGATCTCATGGCTACTGGGAACCTAAGAACGATCGCTACACCCACGTCATTGCATGTCTGTTGCTTCTAGGCAACTTGGCAATCTTTGCTGGGGCACCTCAAGCCTATGTTGCGGGTATATTGGTCTATGTAGTTCTAATGTGTTGTCGCCTTTCCCATTCCTTGCTATTCCGAAAAGCGAGAGTGAACACTTCCGGGTGTTTGATCGGTCGAAAGGTCCATTCCCCGGCTGTCTGGCGCGCTGGTGCGGCCAAAGATTGGAAGATCACCGGATGTCTCATGTCAAGGGCCTCAGGCGACTGCCGAGCAAATGAAAGTTAGTTGCATGTCAGACGGCTCTGTTACCATGTGATTTGGTGCAAAGCTGTCATCTTTGGAGATGACACTCTACTAGTGCAAGGGTGTCATGAACGCGTGCTTGGACCATGTCTCAAAAACTTTGGCCCTAAATTGGGGCTGTGAGTTCAATCTTGCGCAAACCCTAGCTGGCTATATGTTTACTCTGAGAAGCTCGCAAACCATCTACAATCTACACATCCAAAGATCGAATTGGGGTTCCGGACGGTCTCCGGACAGCTCTGCGCACGGCGTTAACTCCTCATCTCCCCACTCCTGAGGGAGGTGATGGAGCTACTCATGTGCAAAGAGTCGCCCGATCGAAGGTGGTGGAGGGATTTGGGGTGCTTGAAAAAGAAAGGATCGAAAGAAGGCGCAAAAAAAGGAGAAACCAACTGCACACAACTATTGGCCGTTCTGTTCTGGGTCAGCGGTTTGTTTCCAGGGCTGCGACGGAACATAGAACCTTCACAAGGCCTAAGCGTGCCTTATTGAATTGTTTGTTGTCGGTGATAAATAGGATGTCTTTTCAAATTGTCAGGTTATCCTGAGCAGCACACAGCCTTAAAAGAGATTTGCATGTGCTCCTTCATCATATCTGTGGCAATTCAGGGTAGGGGTCTTGCGCCCCATTTATAAATGTAAAGCATGTCCAACCCACAATGGTATAATTTGAGAGGGCTCAACCCAAACTGTTGATACATGAAATCAGGGGGCCAACTAACAAGCACAACACGTCATCGAACTGCCTTTGGCATGTATGATTGTATGATTGAAATGTGCTTGAAACGGCTTGAAATAGGACTGACGTGGACTGACGTGGACTGACGTCTGGGCGGCAAAGGTTTGATTTCACAGCCGGATGCCTTGCCCTTGCGATATCCTGGGTTTTTCACCAGCGATAAAATGGGGGAGCTGGAGAGAGTACTCCACTACCAACGATAGAATTACCACTCTTGGGTAGCTCAAAGATCCCACACTTCACCGCTACCACTGTTCTGCGAAGATACACCCTCCCACTCCTCATTACAGGGACCACCACAACATAGCACTACTTGTATTGCTACGAGTACTGCTACTAGTACCACAAAAACCTTTCCCCACCACTACCATTTAACTACTACGCTTGGGTTTTGGCACCACTCATCATCTATAAAATGGAGGGGCGACCGACCCCACAAACTACTAGACTATACTGAATATACTACAAAATAGGTACGGTGGCTTACCTCACGGATCCCACACTCCACCGCTACCACTGTTCTGCGAACATACACCCTCCCACTCCTCCTTACCACTACTTGTACTGCGAGTACTGCTACGAGTACTGCTACTAGTACTGCTACTAGTACTACAAAAAACATCAAAAAACCGTTGCCCACCACCGCCCTCCACTACCACTCCTCGGCTCTGGCACCGCGCGTCCTCCAAGAATGGGAGGGGCTGACCACACTGACTACTCCACCACTACCTTTCCAGAGCTGACCCCACAGATTACTCCACCACTACCTCTCCAGGTTCTGACGCCAAACGTTCTCTGACCCCACAAACAACCATGAAATATATAGCTTGCAGGTTACATCACAAACCCCACACTACTGCCACTGGGACCGCCGCAACTACTTCTACTGTCAGCACTGCATGCTACAAACTAGACGACAGGGCGGCCCCAAAGCACAGGATGAAGATGATGAGGATGGTGATGGTGACCTTTTGAATTTGTAAAAGCGTCCCACACGGTGTGCCACAGACTAGATGCAACGTGGGCGCTGCACCTCATCCCGATCCGCGTTTACGCAAGCATGCTTCCCTCCGACCAACGGCAGAGACACATGTAAACACACTTCCCACCGAGGCCGCACAAAACCGCATGGCACAGTGACATCACAAACGTAAATTTGCCACACCGTGTGTGCCACCGAATGTATACAGCAATGTGATTACTGTAACACCAAGCCTCGTCGGCACCGCCAAAAAATCTTGATCCCCAGCGACACGCCGTACTTACACCAGAATGCGTCCTTTCCGCCCGTGGCGCGAACTCACGCAAACGCAATTTCACTGAGGTCGCGCAAAGCTGCATGGCACAGCGACATCACAGACATAATGTACCTCATGTGCCACAGACTAGATACACCAGGCTCAAATAGGATGGCGCAAGCAAGGATACCCCAAAATGGGTAGTTGGCACAGAGAATGTGTGGAACAATGAGCGCGTGCATTTAAAGAATTGCGCCCTTCCAGGCACACATCAAGGTAAACATGAGAGGTAGATGGCGCAACTAGCGCGAGCAAACCGTGGTCACGCAAGCGCAGATCAATGCAATGTGGAGGGGTAGATGGCACAACCCATAGGAGCTGAGTCAATTGCGCCAACTACCAGAGGGGGAAGCACACAGCCTCCGCCAAAAATGGAACATCTGCGGCAGATGATCTGCCGGATCAAGGACGGCGCAACTCGTTGGTATGTGGTAAAGCAGGTTCCTTAAATCTACCGTAGTTAGTGCGTGTGGCTCCACATACAGAACCGTATACAGCATGATGTCATGTGTATACAGCGTATACAATACCTCGCCCATCGAAAAGGCGGCACGGGGCTCTTGGTAACCGGCACACATGATTCAGAGGATTGAACCCCGCGCTTTGTTGCTGATTTTTGTTGGTGTTGGAAATGGTACTGCGAAGGGCTGCGCCATCTATTGAGGCATTCTTCACTGATGGAGTTGGCATTGCGCAATGTATTAAGACATGTTTTGCTTCATATGCTTGCCACGCACACGCAGCTTTCACCACTTGGGGAAAACAAAAAATACGACAATACCCTCTGCTGCCTTTAAAACAAAAAAGCATGTAGTTGAACACCTGGCCAGCACATTCCTGCGCCGTGTGTAGTGCCATCTACAGATGGCATTTCCCTAATCGCCCACCCATGTTCTCCCAGAAGGCGCTGGCCGCGCTACATTTGAACTACAAAGTTGCCAGTTCTGAGGCAGCTCCTGGAACCGTACAAAGAAAGCTTTCAGACCAGTTCAAGACACCAGACAGACCAACAGCAGCCTTTAAGAGCCCAGTTTCCAGCAGAGAAGATCTTGCAGAGAGCCAGGTTTCACCTGCCAGTTCCAGCTCACCTTGGTCTCAGTATGGGTTGGAGAAGTTTTTTGGCAGCCCAAAGGAGCAGGCAGAAGCAAGACCTGTTTTGGAGAAGAAGGTTTCAGTGAAAGAAAGAAAGAAAGAGGTCTCTTAGAGAGGCTGAGCTTGCTGGTTTGAAGGACCAGTATGTAAAGAGGTTGAAGGTAATAGATGAGTTGGAGGAAGAGAAAAGGTTTGTTTTGAGTCCTGAGGAAAGGGGAAAACTTGGAGGCAGACCTATGATTGAAGACAAAGACAAAAGCAATGCGGGAATGAAGAGCAACAGGAAGGGAGCAGGGCAGCCTTCAAGGAGAAAGGAGTTGTCTGTTGTAGAGAAGGTCAAGATGGCAGAGGATTTGGAAGTGATGCAACAAGAAGCTTCCAGCAGCAGGGAACTTTTCAAGAAAGGCAGAACCAGGTATGGCTTAGACACCAGGACCTTGAAGCGCATCAT